TGATCGCTAAAAGAATTTTAGTCGCCAGTTTTTTTAATTTTACGAAAGATACTTCGGAAAATAATGTCTCTTATTTATATTTTCTGTACAGACACCAATATTAAAAAACAGAGAATTAAAAAATATATAGTTATTCAATCTTCATTTACACATTTTTGATCACTGCATATATTTTTAAGTTTAAGAAAATCTTAAGTATTTTGAATTTTTGAAATTGTGTATGTTTCCAATATGAAGCCTGGTAAATAAAGTAGTACTTCTCTTCTTTACCCTTACATTTGAAATATTTTTTTAAAAAAGTTTTTCCATATTTTATTTTTTTTTGTCTTTTTCCCCACCCGCGTTGTTGGCGTAAAAATCATTCAACAAACACGAAAAGACACGCGTTACGCATGCGCGTGCGTCAAGATATGAACGCGGTATTTGTTACGTCACAGTAGATCACAGCCCAAGCGAGTTTAAGATGAACTTGTCGCAAAAAGAAAAACGAGAAACTAAAAAAAAAAAGAAGGAAAATTATAACAACAATAAGTAAAAGAACTTATTTTGTTAGCCTTTTTTTTTTTTTTTTTTTACTTCTCTGCAATTGCTGTTTTTATCTATTTACACTCTTATTTGATTTTTCTTAGCCGGCAAACATTACTTCTTCCTTACCGATGGACCCATTGATAATGACGATGCCAGTTTCCCACGACGCAGAAAATTTGATTTTAAAAAAACAAAAAAAAAACAACAAAAAAAAAAACAAGATTTTGTTGTGATTATTCTTTAGTTGTTCTTTTTTATTTCCTTTCGTACTTAGCTTTATAAGAATAATAATTAAAAAAAAAACGCAATTTTTTGTTTATTTGTTTTCTTCTCTAAATCGTTATGTTTGCTAAACATTCAGCAGACGATATTTTCTTCTCAATAAAAAAAAACCTTAAATGATTGAGACCATTTCGTTGTTGTTTTTTTTTTTACACGAAAGAATGACAGAAATGACAAGATTGTTTTAAAAAAAGAAAATAAAAGACAGGATGGAGTTAAAAAGGGAGAGAAAAAAGGAAATAAAAATGAATGGAAAGAGAGAAAAAGAGGGAAGCAGAAGTTAGAGAAGGAACAAGTGAATGAATAATAAAAATTAAAAAGAAAAAATAAATACAATGTATAAAGAAAAAGAGAAAGGGAAGAAAAAATTAGCAGAGAATATGAATGAATGAAAGAAAAAGTGAATAAACAATCGGAGAAAGAAAGAACGTATGATTTAATAAAAAAAAAAAATGTAACTAAATAAAGAACAAGTGAATGAATGAATAGTAAGAGAAAACCTGAATAAAAAAAGAGGGTGTATTATATCCACGATAATATGCAAAGATACAACCTCAAGTTTATGGTTAAGAAGAGTTAAATGTAAAGTCACGTGCGCTCAAATGAACTTGGTGACAGCTTTTGAAGAGAAAGCAACATAACAGCCTGGACTAATGAGATATGTTTAATAACCAAATAGAGAAAGATTAAAAGAAGAGTTTCTGATTTAGAGAACGTTCATTATGCAAATGTCATCAAACATAACCTCTTTGCGGCTGCTCGGTCTCGTGTTGACTGCTGACCTGAGATGGAACAAATACAATTGCTTCGTCCACCGCAAGGAAAGTTGACTCCCTGTGCCGCGCCAGGAAATTTTTCTCACCGGAATCGATCCTTCAAATCTACAAATCAACCATTTCTCCCTTGCATGGAGTATTGCTGCCTAATATGGTCTGTCTGTCTCAGGGTTCTTGATAAAATCCAGAGACGGATATGCAATGTAATTGTCCCTGATCTGGCATCTTGTCTGCAGTTGCTCTCTCACAGACATGCCATTGCCTCACTCTGTCTTTTTTACCAATACTTTCATGGTAATTGCTCCGATGAGCTGCTTTCGCTGGTTCCCAGACTTCATGAATTCAAGCACCCTACGAGGCTGGCATCCCGCTCTCTCTCCCTTTCACTGTCAAAACTTCTAAATGTAGCCGTCTCTTCTACTCCAATAGCTTCATATCTCGCACCTCTCACCTGTGGAACTCCCTCCCCTTTTCCTGTTTCCCTGATAGCTATAATCTCTAACTATTCAAATGAAATGTCAATCGACATCTCCAGTTGCCTTGATCTAGCCGCTATCCTTCTCCTCATCCTTTCCTCTATCACTCCTATCTGCTATCGTTCCAAATCCTCTGTAACCCCTTGCATGCTAGTGGCTTCCCGCCTTGCTTGGGGTGAAATGCTTAAAAAAAAAAACATGTGAGAAAAAAGTACAAGTCTACTTAACGAAAATGACATGTAGTCACTTAGCCTAGATTTGTGTAGACAAGCTGGAATTTTTGGGCTGACTGACCATACCCATCTTCAATCTTTTCTGTTTTTAGATATATACAAATTGTATAAAAACTATTTTTTAATAAAAACGATATCATTAAAAATTGTATGAGAAAAAAAAAAATTAAAATGTTGGAATTGTGTAAAAATTATTATAGAATCTATTTTAATAATAAAATAATTAAATTGAATGAAAAACTAATTAATTAAGAAAACGACAAAGTGGCCGCACTGATCAATTTGGCTCAGTCCAAGGCATTTGACAGGGTTGACCATCAGTACAGGTAGCTGTCCTGCAGGTCACTGGATTCAAACCCAACTTCTCTAAGTGGATTAACCTGCTGTGGCACAGGTGAACAGAAAGTGATCAGAGGTCTTTGTGCTGTCCAGTTGGTTCATAAGGGTTGTCTACTGTTGCCACTACTTTATGCTCTGGCACTGGAGACCTTCCTATGCAAGTTGAAGGACAGGGCATGCAGATTGGAACTATGCGGAATTGGTCTCCTTGTCCTTAAAGGGTAGGGGCCAATAACTGTGACAAGTCTTTAGGTTTGCTGTTGGCTTCTTGGAATGGTGTCACTCTTCCGGAGGGTGGTTCAGGCCTGATAGTCAGCTGGCGAAGAATTGGTCAGAGGTCCAAGTGAAGGTAGGAGTGTTGTTCCAGACTTGGCCATACAGGTGGTTATCCTTAAAGGCTAGGGTTGAAGTATCCACTGTGTACATCTTATACTTATTCTTTTCTTTGGTTGTTGGTACTTCCTCTCATAGATGGTTATCTGAAGGCACTCAAGTGACTACCCTTTTCATTGTTGTGTATGTTGGGGTGTAGACAGGCCAATGGTTCACAGTTTTTTTATCCTCATTTTTTTATCTTGATTGGACCAGCCTTTTACAATTCCACACTCCCAGGTTGTTTTTCATCACTCCCCTGCCACTAGCAAGTGAGCTTTTTGATTCTGCTTATCAGCAGAATTTAGTGGCCATTCTAATTTTTGTGGGTTGAACAATTTCTTACTAACACAGATTTAATTTCACTTAAATGTTTTTTTAAATTCTTTATTTGAATTTAATGGGTTTATCTCCTGCCATTTTAAGTTATTGAAAATTTTCATGCATTTAAATTCTTAAAGTTGAAGTACCAAAAAGGAAAGCTCATCAGAAATATTACCATGAAAATATTTATAGAAAAGGCAGAGGAAAGCTACATTATGGCAGTCAGTAAGTAGTTGAAGCTGAGACGCCTTTTCAGAACCAATAATATTGTAGATTTTTCTTTGTATTCTATAAAGAATCTCTAAATACATAGCAGAAGCAATCAGACCAGATATTCAATGCATGGGTGAATGGTAGACTTATAAATATCTAAGATATATTCTGGTGAGTAAAATTGTCTAGAACGACACAATGAACCAACTTTCCTAGCAGAGACCTAGCAGTTGATTCAGTATAATCTTTCCATTTCATGTTAGCTGGAGAAGGCACAAGGAATCACTAACCTGGAGGTTAGCATCAGCCATTCTGATGGAAGGCAAAGAGATCAGTTTCATATTGACTGGTGACATATCCTTGTAGCAACGGGGTTACCAATATTGTAGCGGTGTGTACCATTATGTAAGGGTGTGTACTACATACATTTAACTTTGGCTAGGAAAAGTGGGATTAAGGACAATGCATGGACACAATGCAATTTTTATTTGATGTAAATAGCACAGTATAAAATACAAAACAAAATGTAATGATTTCAAAACATAACAATTGAATTTATTAGTGTTTGGTGTACAAGCATATAAGCTGAAGGTGTGATAGAGTTATGTCTCTTAGATTTGGAAATATTTGTACCTGAGCTCATAAAGAAGAAGTAATTATTAAACTGTAGTTTAGAAGAATAAAGTTTCTTTAGCATGTTTGGAATTGTGGATTGGTAAAGTTGGTAAGAGTTCGGAAGAGATTTTAGAGTTCGTACTTGCGTGAATGTTGGTAATGGTCTTTAACGTCTGACTGCATTGTCAAGACGAGAGTTCTTGAAGATTACATCTTGGCAGCATGGAGAAAGATGAATGAAAAGAAACACAAGGGACCTTACATGTGTTTTGTTTATATATGACTCTGTATCAGGCTCAGATCAAAAACGTGGGAAAACAGATTTGTCGCGTGCAGGCGGTTTGATTGGTCGGAACTGACCAATCAGCAAGCTAGTTTTGAGGAGATCAACCAATGAATGCTTGTTGCATGATTTCTATGTATGTGTATAATAATTATTATGAAGAAAGAGTGCATTTTTTAATTGGGGTGTAACTGGCAAATGTGGAATCTTCCACATCCTAACAAATATCCTGTTGTTAGCAATGAGCACTGGAAAGGGTTTTAGATAAAAATGAATAATGTTTATTAATTTTACATATAATTAAGAAGTAATAATAGTAATTAAAGATTTAATTAAATGCATCATATTATCTCTGAAATGTTAATAAGATTTTTTTTATACTATTGTATAATAATCGGTTCTATATGAATTATTAAATTATTTTTGCTAATGCCATCATTCAGAATTATGATAACACCATACAAAGTTAAGCAACATTGAGCCTATTCAGTGCCAAGATGGGTGACCATTTGGGAATACCTGATTCTGTAAGCTTAGATATGCAGGTGATATAATGTGCTTACGGTTATATCACGTTGAAACACTTGTTTTCATGCAATCACTGAAATTAAGCAATGTTGAGCCTGGTCAGTACCAAGATGGGTGACCATTTGCGAATATCATGTGCTGTAACCTTAGATATGCAGGTGAAATAACTTGCTTATGGTCATATCTCTTTCAAACACCAGTTTTCATGCAATCACTGAAATTAAGCAATGTTGAGTCTGGTCAGTACCAAGATGGGTGACCATTTGGGACTTCTACATGCTATAAGTTTGCATGCATGTATAGTATAAAAGTTTACAGTTATATCACATTGAAATACTAGTTCTCGTACGATCACTGACATTAATGTCGAGCTGGGTTTTGTGCCTAGATGGGTGACCGCTTGGGAATACCAGGTGCTGTAAGCTTGGATATGCAGATGGTGTAATAGATAAATACGCGGATTTATAAATCGGAGAGCTAAGTTCCAATTCCTGTTGGGTTTGTTCTATTCACTTATGTGCAAGTACCCTTGGGAAAGGTATAAATCCACATCTTCTCTCCTGCCAAAGCTATGGATTTATTACCACGGTTTGTATCAATAAATCATTATCATCCCTCCCAAAAGTCTTATAATCTAAAAATACTTTATGGCTTTAAATAACCTGCAAAAGTTGATAATCAATCAATCTTCAGGTTAAACTACAGCCGATGTTCTTCATCTTAGAGAATCGTCTTGAACATGTGGCTGTTGATTTACCTGGGAGAACCCGCTGGCCCAGGCATTGACTTCAGTCTAGGAAATCCTAGTTGCCGTGCTATCAATGCATTGGGTACATACATAGCTATAAAGGCAAATGCTATTTGCTTTATGATTTATATAAACTTTTTTGTCTTTAATGATAACCTTATTTCCTGACAATTGTTAATTCTTTTCTAAATTTTTTTCAGTGGACAGAATAAAGTAGAATACAACTGATTTTATTAGTTTTTCTCTAATTTTTACTGCTTTCCTCTCTCTCTCATTTTCTTCCTTTTGATTTTTTACCTTTCTTTTCATCTCTTTTTACTTTTTTCTTTTCCATTCCTTTTTCTTTTTACTTTCTCTTTCTTTAAATTTTTCTTCTTCTTTCTTTTATGTTTTCCTTCTCCTTACTTTTCCCCTTCTTTCTTTTACATTTTTCTTCCTCTTTTTTCACTTTTTGCTTCTTACTTTTATTTATCTCACACTTTTTCTTTTTTTCCTACTTTGTCTTCTTTCTTTTTTAATGCTTTCTACTTTTTCTTTTTAATTTTTTCTTCTTCTTTCTTTTACTTTTAACTCTTTCTTTTATGTTCTTTTTCACTTTTTTATTTTTTCTTTGTCTTTTTTACTTTTTCCTTCTTCTTTCCTTTACTTTTACCCCTTCTTCATTTTATGTTTTTTCCTCTTTTTCACTTTTTGCTTTTTATTTTCACCCACATACTTTTACTTTTTCTTTCTTTTTGCCTTTTTTTTCTTCTTTCTTTTTTGTTTTCTACTTTTTCATCTAATTTTTTCTTTTTTCTTCTTTCTTTCTTTTATGTTTTTTCTTTCCTTTTCCTTTTTCTTTTTTATATTTTCCCTTTCCCTTTATTTTTATTTTCTTTTTCTTTTTTTTTCTGTTTTTTTTATTTTTTCTGTTTTCTTCCTCTTCTTTTATTTTCTTCTTTCATTTACTTTTTCTTTCCTCTTTTTTCCTTTGTCTTTCATTTACTTTTACCTCCCACTTTCTTTTCCTCTTCCTTCTCTCTTTATTTTTCTTTTCTTTTTTTACTTGAACCTCTTTCTTACTTTTTTATTATTCGCTCTCTGGATGTGCAGGTGGTGCAATGATTAGCACCTCAGACAGAGAAATTGTAGAGCCAAGTTCAACTTTCATCTGAGCTTGTTACATTCACTTTTGTGCAAATAACCTCGAGAAAGATATAAATCCATCTCTTCTCCCTTCAGCTATGGGTTAAATAGCAGGCCAGACTAGGCTCTATAGCCATGGTTGGCAACCAGTCTGGAAGAAAAGCTCATGACTGTATAATCTCTATATAGTATTATTATTATTGCCTTCTTAATTTTTCATTACTCTTTCTTTCTTTTTTCCTTTATTTTTATTTTCTCCCCTTCTCATTCTCTTACATTTTTTACAATTTTCCTTTTCCTTATTATTAACATTTCATCCTAACTCTTTCTCTGACTTTTTTTTCAGCATAACCCTCATTGTAATCAGTGAAGATGAATCGACGAATGAATGCCATGTTGACAACTTCTTGAGCCTCATTTTTCATATCATTGTTCTGTTTTGTGGCCGTGAAGATGTGGAAAACATCAAGAATCCAGAACGTTTCAAGAAGGAAGTCAAGGTAGGACAATCTCTGTAAATTCAAATTAAAAAAATGCTCCTCTTTTTTTTTTTACTTTGCATGAAATACAGTTTATAAAGGAGTTTCAGTGATTTCTGTTCAATGCAAAATATCCAAGCAGCCATAGCTGTTCATTTTTGAGCTTTGCTAGACAGCTCTTTCATCATAAAATTCTGAATTCTGATGTAAATTTGAGTATTAATTTTTTAATACCATATTTGATGGTATACAAGAAGCCCCCACATCACACCAAATGTCTCACTGATAATCTTCCAGGTCTTGTAAAGTTAAGTCATGAGAGAGAGGCTAATGTTTTACCAAATACCAGGACATCCACCAAGCTTAACTCTATTATACTGTAATATTAAAATATAAATTGGGGTCAAATGCAGATCAGATGCAGTTTTTTTTTCCCATTCTTGCTTCTGTCACATTGTTTATAGTAAGGGTGCAAAGTGGCATTAGAACCAAATCATTTTTCATCCTTTTTTTTTTTTTTAAAAGCTACACCCCTGCTAGAGCAGTGTTTCAGTACATTTGCCAAACTTCTTTCCAAGTAGACTGAAAATCGCAGGTTTAGGACTTCTTTCGATGTCTTCCAGCCTGATGTTCAGAAGCTGATATCCCTGCATCAAGTATATTCAGGCCAGTGTATACTACCCACAAACCTCCAAACAGTGGGAGAGCCTGATTGGAGTCCTCGGGCAGCAGTGCTTTGTGACCCTGGTTATCTTATCAATATTTCCTTCATTTGCCTACATTTATATACATTACAAATTAAACTAAGCACATTTGGTTTTTCAAGGATGAAAATTTTTGCGGTTTTTGATGTCATCCTGATGTCTTTTTTTTTTTCCCCCAAATTCATGAATTTGTTTTGAATATGCTAGGTCTAAAAAAACACTGTATAAAATTACTATTTTTTATGTTGAATGGGTTAAAATTATTAAACATTTTAAGAAGAAAAATCTCAAGTTGATGTTAAAAAATGCTGCAAAACTTTATTTAAGATAGAATGATCTATTATGACAGGTCTCTAATTTGTATTTAGAATTTTCAATTTTTCTAGTTGAATTTTCACTTATATTGTATATAATAATTATAGTAATGTACATAATTAGGTTACAATAAAATTTGTATTTTATATGAATACTACCTTATAAAAATTGTGATGTAGTAGAATGCGGGGGTAGCATAGATTCTGGAGGGGTGGCAAAACTCTAGCATTGGCCTTGAATACATTGATCCCATTAAAACTTTAAATTTACACTTTCATGTAATCAAACTAAATAAATTGATTGACTTGATTATCTTGATCTTTATTAGATTGTCTTGCATATGTTCTATACGAAATACCATGAAAGAAGTCTCTTCATGTGAGTGAAGGAAGATGGCATTAGGGATGTGAAGCCAAGGGGCTGGTAGGTAGAAAATGTTTAGGAATCACCGTTTTAGGTTATTATACTTTCCAATCTTTAAGCTAAAACAAAATCTGAAAAAAAGCTACTTGTACAAGATTTTGACTAATATCTTTGGAGCTCGTCTTACATGAATGAGGTTTGAACTTGTTGTTTTGAGTTCAATCCTTAGTCATATTATTGTTTCTTTTTTTTTCATTTTTGATGTCATATTATTTTCTTTATTTTTGAGTCTTATGTTATCAAATACACGTCTTTCATTTCAGCCAACTAGAAACTTTATTCATGATGATTTATAAGTAAAGTTTCCTACCACATGTCTTTGCCAAAATCAGACCTAGAAATGGACTTGAATATCTGTTTGGGAGTAATTGGGTACATGGAAAAGGAGAAGAAATATCCTGGTTTTTACTATTCTTCAAAGCCCACATTAAGCATTAGTTTATCTAGGATACATTAAAAATATAGCATGATATCAGGAAGCACTAGAACAGTAATTCCCAAATGGTGTGGGCTCCTCACAGGTGCTATGGAAGAAGAAAGCAGGTGAGGCAAAATGATTGAAAGACAATCAGAGATTTAGAAACAGTTTCAAAAAATCCATATGCTAAAAATAAATAAGATTTCAAAATTTAAAATATTATGGATTACTTGTAATTGCATGCATGAATCCCAGTATAAATAGTTATAAATAATTATTTACTGATTTTATCATTGTGATATTTTTGCATTATATCAAGTATTAAGAATATAGTAACTAGGGTTCACAAATTGAAGGAGAGAGTTATCAATGATAATGTTCTGACTTTGAATACACGGTTATCTCCCTTTAGAACTCTCACTGTATTTTATTTTTAAATGTACTTTCTATCATAGCAAATTTTCATTCCAAAAATATGTCACAGAGAAAAAAAGTTTGGGAATCTCTGAACTAGAATAACTTAAATTAATTCTAAAAATGAATTCTGCTTGAAATCATTTCATATACAGCACTAAAATATAAAAATATGTTATATATAAACATATGTATATTTATTTAAACAGAAATTATAGCATATTTGTATTAAAAAAGTTACCTAAAATATCACCGTCATATAAAGAGAGGAAACCAAACAACTTACAGCTTGAATTTCCCATGATGCTTTGTCTTTGTCACGTATAACAGCCTTCAAGTTTTTATAATTAAATGTATTTGTATTCATTTATATTTTATATAAGTGAATCTGTATTTATGTCTACAGGATTTTTTCTCTTTTTCTTTTATGAGATTATTTTCTGCTCCATTTTTTTTTTTTTACCAGGAATTTTCAAACAGTTCTAAGTTTGAAAACCAATCAAGAATTCCCTTTCTAG